CAATAAGAGAGATAGCTGCATTTGTGTTTGGAATGACACTAGCATGGCCGGTGACGCATTTACTTGCTCAAGGACAGACAACACGCTTGAGGGATTGTGCTGCCTCAACTTTGATCTATGAAGAGATGCCCCTATTGGAGTGATTGTGTTTCCTTCAAAATCACTTGTGGCGGTTACATTACAGCAAGATGGTTACCAACAGCCCTGAGCACAGCTAACCCTTCTGCTCTTACCACTGAGGGAGAAATCCACACTGGACGCCCCAAATATGATGCTCTCCTTGGAGTAGATGGCTACTTCCCGGTCGGCCCTGAGGTCATACAGGCGGCACTGAAACACACCAGCGTCTCCATTAACTTTAAACCACGTGGCTGATTTTCAGCCATCTATCATCAGTCTTTAATCCTATCAATGTTTAGAGACACGCTAACCATTGACGCAACATTCATGATTCACGGAAATGTGACTTAATCATCTGAAAGATAACAGTGGCCCTCAAAAGTCTATAGAATAAATCAATGAGCTCAACGCTCTTTGGTCAGTGTGTTGTACCATGACGCCCCACTAAATGATTCCTATTGCTGATCTGCAATTTGGAAAATTTTTACATCAAACAATAAGTGACTCACAGTGGCATCGTCAGAGCCAGAAGCAAATGCGTCTCCGCTGGGGTAGTACCTGGTGTTAAAAAACAATCAAATCAATGACGTCTGACACTGCAAAAACTACACTGTTATCAAGCCATGAACACATTTTGCAGTCCTGGTGGAAAAATCTGAAAAAGGCAGTTATGGAGAGTGACTTAATGCAAGCAGTCACACAAAAATTCAATACATAAAAAACTGGTAACCAAGACAACAGCCTCACATCTGCTGCATTGCTATTAATATGATCAGAGCTGCGACGTCAGATTAATGAATCACAGAGAATTCATAAGAGATTCATAATAATAATAATAATAATAATAGATACTTCACTGATCCCCTTGGGGAAACTGTCTTTATGTCTCCCCCAACGTGCTCTTTGCAGAGTAAGCCGTTTGTGAAGGGCAGCCACCCAGGGAACTGGTGGTTAGGGGCCTTGCTCAAGGAGCCACAGATGGGCTGAGGCTGGGTTTGAACCAGTGACCTTCTGATTACAGGCACACAGGCTTAGCCACTGAGCCACACGCTGCCCCTGTGCATAAGCATCATGCAAAACATAAGGTTGATTTTTCACTGTTCAGGGAGCTCACCTCACACTGTTGATGTCTGACTCGTGGGTCTCAAACGACTGGATACACTGACCTGAGCGCATGTCCCAAACGTTGGCCTTCTTGTCACAACCCTGCGAATGCAGGAAGCAGCCTTCAGTATCTGAACCTCTTCATCATATTGGTTTATTCTGAGCAACTAGCTACAGTGTTGTACTGGTGTCATGCACTAGGGGGCACAGCGGTTAAAAGGACTTCATGTTGTGTAGCACCTCTTAACAAGATGCTGGGCCCGAATTCCGTACATTTTCCAAACTACTTATCCAGTTCAGCTTCAGTATAAAGGAAGCTTGAGCTGATTCTAGGAAGCACAGAGCACAGGACACCTTGAAGAGGTTGCCAGTCTCTTACAGAACAAATATTCCCACACTATGGGAAACTTTGGGACAGCAGTCCATTTAAATGCCTGTTTTTGGACTGTGTGAGGAAACAGGAAATCCACAATAACACCCCGAGGGGGTGACGTAATCCTCACACATACGGGGCTGGAGGTGCGACCCAAACCCACATCGCTGGAGGAGTGAGGTGTGAGCACTACACAAAAATGCACCACACCGTCACTTAGCCTGAATTACCGAACCAAAGTGCATAAGTGTGAAAATTCGTCATGCATTTCAGATAAAAAAAAACGTCAAATCCTGTGATTCTCAACTTTTCCAACCGCAAGGCCCAGCTGTTGACCATTACAAAGTGTCAGCAGCCCTCCGGGGGGGGAACAGGCGGGGTGTCCCCATCGGTAATTTTCACAGATGGAGAGGGGGTGTTCATCAGCCAGCGATCGGATCCCTGGGACGGCCCCTTATGGACCAAACCACGTTTGCCTAATATAGATAGTGGTTGACAAACCCTAGTCCTGCTAGCCAAGTTAAGGTAAGTTCTCATACTCCTGACACGAAGGTGTTGCCGGTCTCAGATGGGGCCAGGTCTAAGCAGAGCACGTCTGCAGAGTGACCATGGAAACTCTGCAGAAGCTGCCCACTCTCCACATCCCACAGGGCGCAGGTCCCGTCGCCGCTGGATGTCAGGATCTGAAAGGCGGCAGGAACACGACTGAGGTGTGGCTGTCAATCCCCACTTCGTACTGGTTAGAGCATTGGGATTCACACCCATGATTATCTATACAGTATTGTACTCATTCATATTGTACTAACAAATTACATTTCAGTGGAACTTTGCAAATATGCAGCTGGAATGTCTTCTGCCCTCTTGTGGTGATTTACAAAACACACAAAGATAATTTATATCCCTGCATTTTCACCTTCAGGGGTGAAATGTTCCCGGTGTCAGTAGTTATCCATAATCAAACATGTTGGTGAAGTTTATGAGACTGTAAAACATATTAATCAAAGGGAAATCCTGTTGAATATAAAGCTGTACAGCCAATTGAGATTACAGAGCTCAAGGAGACATATTTTTAGTGAGTTATGAAAATACCAAATTAAAAATGCGACTTCAATAAAAAGGCACTTCAATAGATTCAGCCACCGTCTCTTACACTTCGTAGGCAAAAGTAAATGTTTGAACTTGCCTGCAAGTCAGCAAAAGCAGTTAAAATTATACGTAGCGTGAAATTCTTGAATGAACACCATGGTTGAATTTGAATTATCAAATACCATGAAGCAGAAAGTGAGGAGCCCCCAAAGACTGATGATCCCAGCTGCAAAACCAAAGTAATTAATTTGAAGGCGCGGGTTTGAATCACTCAGACACCTATTCATTACTTACTCCCAAAAACAAGAATGTTACACTCTTTGAAGAGTAAGCAGTTATGGTCAAAACACTTCCATAGCTATAAAACACAATCTTATAAACTGTATTTAAATGTTTAATTCTTTTTTTTAAATGCTGAGATAATTGCAGAGACTAATGTAGGTCGATCGTGGTCCCATGTGACTGACACCTCCCTGCCGGCTCATTTTGTCCAGCCATTGTCCTGCCTACTTCACGACTGAGTCATCCAGAGGCTCCACTTTGGAGACTGAAAGGATTCAGACGCACTTGGTGCCTTCTGCCGTCTACAGAGAGTGTCCAGCAAAGAGACTCTCACTGCTGCAGGCAGTCCAGCTACTGGCCTGGCTCAATACCCAGCAGTATTTAAACAAGAGGACAAACAAGAATACATATAACTGAGCTGGTGTTCTTAAATAAATAAAATGACATCAGACTGTTCTTTGGCACCTTTTAAATCAGTGACGTCTTGTTTAAAAACTGGGTTTTTAAACAATGGAGTTTGAAAAGGCCGCTTCTTAAAGCTATTTCTATCTGTTAGCTATATGCTTCGCAGTTTAACTTTAAGTGAGGAATAACCAGAGGCGTGAAGAGGCTCCTCTGCCGGCCTCCCTCACCTGCATGTCTGAGTTGGTGAAGCTGCAGGCAGAAAGGTAGTTGGTATGCATGGCCACGGACTTCTTCTTGGCCGCCAGGTTCTCATTCTTGTCCAGGGAGAGTGGATACACTGAGCACTTATTATCTAAACCCCTGCAAGGACACAGGGCCAAGGACAGCAAAAACGAAAAGCGGGTGATCAGCATCCCATAGTTATTCTATTGTTTTAAATTTTTGCTGCTCTTATCTTGTACTGTCCACTTTCTGCCGTGACTATGCAAATTTCCCACTCGTGGGACTAATACAGGATTATCTTATCTTATCTTATCTTATCTTATCTTAACTGTCCAGCTATCGGCTGCATTTTCTCACACATGGCAGAGAACTTTTTACGGGCTGCAGCTCGGCCAGTCGCGCGCCTGGCAGGCATGGCAGAAGGGCTTTACATTAACATAAACTTTTGAAACCCTGGCAGGACTCACCCGCAGGCCACCGCACAGCCAGAGGGGGCGTACGCGCACGCCATCACCCAGGTGCAGGGCATAGTGACAGCATGCTCCTGAAACACACACACGCACACACTTGGTGTGAACACTATGCACAAGGCACTTAAAATATATTCAAATATACCTGTTAAGTTTTAAGGAAGAATTAACTATAAAGGTTCAGCAAAATGGAGGGCAGCATAAAACTGCAATATGCTCCTAACTTACTACCTTTACTAATCATGGAACTGGCTATGTAAAGATAACTTATCTTTGCGCTCTAAGCAGTTAAGGGATGATACATGCATGATAGGCTGGTTTTACTACTTGCACGTAATAATTTACCTTATTAGTCGTGAATGCATCCCATACGATCACTTTTCCATCCTGAAGAGCAAATCGCAAGTGTTTCATGAAAGAAAACAAACAAACCAAACATGCATCATAGATCAAAAACTGCACATAGATGCTCCTCGGGTTATGATGGTCCGTGTTATGATATTTCAACTTTACGACTGGTAAATGTTTTTCACTTTCAGTAGGCCTACATTGTTCAATAAATTACATGAGATATTCAAAACCATTTTAGGAATTAGGCTTTGTGTTAATGTTTTTGCCCAACTGTAGGCTAACGTAAGTGTTCTAAGCATGTTTAAGGTAGGCTAGGCTAGGCTATGATGTTTGTTAGGTTAGGTGTGCTGGATTAAAATGCATTTTTGCCTTACGATAGGTTTGTTGGAACGTAACCACATTGTTACCCAGGGAGCGGTTTCAATTAATTCTGTACAGAGAGCTTGGATTTAAACTATCTGCAGAAATAAACACCGCTGCCGTCTCACTCAGCCCATAGCCATTCTTCTCAGTAATTATTTTTTGTTTGCATTGCTCCGCATGTGACACCTGGGAAACCTGCGTTTGCTAATACAGAGACCCAGGATGCTGCCGTTTCCTTGGTGTGTCCTCTTCAATGATTCTCTCTGCACTGCACCGAGGAACCAAGAAATCTCGACAGAATTTATTTTATATTTTACAAAAAAAAATAAAAAATTATAATACAATTACAATAGGAATACATGGAGTGCATAACTTCTAAACCATGGACAGAGGCATTGACTTCTTAAAATTATCCAAGAATCAGACCACTGTAGGATAGCAGTGCAATTCACTGCTTTGTTTTTCACTTTACTAGAACTTTCTTAGCATGGTGATACATTAGCAACTGCATTGCCAACAATAACGAATAAACAAATATAAAACAATATATCTAAGTAAAATAGTAAACATTAATATGAATATCATCACGTGTATAGCAGCAGAATTCATGGTCCATGCCGGTGTTCTGACGAGTTGGGCTACCTATCGAGACGTACTATCGAGCCTTTTTGCGCATGTGCAGTTCCACCGCTTGGGGGTCAGGGTTAGGGTTAGGGTTTGGGCTATCAATTAGCACAGTAGCTCATCTCGACAGAACACCCGCATTGCTAAGGCTTCCTCACCTGAGAGGAGCTCACGATCCTCCTTTTGTCCTTGCACCAGTCCATGCACAGAACTTTGTTACCGTGACCCTTTAGGGTCCTCCTGGTCTTCATGACAAACTGTCCGAGAGCTTCCACGCGCTCTGCCACCTGATGCACTGATATGTAGAGATTTGGACAAGTTCATTATCGTGTGATGAATCGGTGCTGCTATTAATTCCTCTTTGCCTTTGCAGAATACAGCAGCCTATCGGTTGTTCCGATTATAATAACCGTATCGTTTTTTGTGATTTCCAGAAATAAAATACATCTCAGTCCTACGAAAGTGAACATACACTGTGGGAAATGATGGGTAAGCAAGGATAATGACAGAAAAATGGCATTTATTTTTTGCGTTGGTGTATTATACACCATTCGAGCATACGCCTGTTGCCTGGTACTTAATTTTGGAAAAAACAGTAGGCTACTGCATGCAATATCAGTACATGTCTGATCTAAACATTGCATATAATTAACGTTTCGTCAAAAATGCATCCATAATCTGTGTTAATTAAAATCATATACCCATCGTGTATTTTATGTAAGTTTAAATGACATTTATAATGTAATTCATATTAGTAATCACATGATGTTAACACCGTTCGCTTCGATAAACATTTGCCTATTTGTCATGGCATAACGTAACGTAGAAGGAGTCACATAATTCAACAGCTCCTGTTAACAGGAGGGCGGCGGGTTAACGTCCCGAACGTTCACAAGCGGAGATCGGGAGGCCCCGTCTCCCATCCCCAACACTCACGTTCAACATCGTGCAGTTTGGCTCGCTCCTCCTCCAGCTTGGTCTTCAGAGTCTCCGATTCCATCTTCAGCGTTGCCAGGGTCTCATTCGGCTGCAGTCCCTGACAAGCCATCTTTTGGAGAAATGACGGATAGACAGAGGGTTAAAAAATGAACCGAGGAGGATGTTTTCTCTCTGTTTTGCGTTTACTTGCGAGGTGCCTGCAACAACAGGCTCTGCGATCGCCTCACAGCTGATGCGGCTGGAGTGACGTCACCAGCAAGATGCTTCCCCGATAGCGCCGAAGACTATAGTCGCTGTCTTAAACCTCATCAGAGCACATTTTTTAAATATAAAAATACGATTTCCCGATCGGATTTGTAGCGCATAAGGTGTCTGATGTATACGGACATTTTGTTTCTATGAAAGCTAATGTTTCGTCTTAATCCAGAGATATTAACAACGCATCGTACATAAATTCAAGAGCAGCTTGCTATTAACATTTATATATGTTAGCCTTCGATGTATTTGATTACTAAATTTACGATTTTCAGGTGTCGCAAAACGTTACCTTTCACATTGATAATATGGCCCATATTTACTAGAGTTTTATTTCTTTGCGGTATGATTCAAACATTGCATTAGTTCATATAAAAACTCTAGGTCCTCCGCGTTAAACTGAGCAACCGAGAAGTTGCAGGCAGTTAACGGAACAGACATTTGCGCGATAACCTGGCCTGACCCGCAGGCGTAGGACTCCATTCCTTCGGTAAAAGGCATGTGTGGCTCTCGGGTCTGGCAGCTGTGTGTTCACTGAGGGTGTTTGCTTAAAAAACAACTGCATGTGTTATAAGCCTGAAAGCAAACTAGCATTTTAAAAACTCTGGATCACAACCAAGCTGTCACAGAAAAAAAATATCTTGGCACTAATGATCATGTGAAGAATAATTAATGTATTAATGCATTATTATGTATTGTTTCAATTAACAACAAACACCAAAGTTAAACACTGAATAAATCAATACTGCTTTAAGAGGGAATTTTGAAATTTCAGCATTATGATATTGGAAATACTGGTGTTGGAGACCAAGGTTGTATTCTCAGCCCAAGCCGAGTCTGGGTGGGACGGACTCCCAAACTTCACTACACTACACATGGGAGCCAAATGTAGATTCCTGGTAAACATCAGTGATTAACATGCATCACCACTGTGCAGGGCGGTGATGTGACCCTGAGAAGATATCGATGTGGTTGGTGTCTTGGGTGAGGGCGAGTATTTGCAGAGGGACCCCTACCCGCTCCACACACAGTGAGCAGTAGTTGACAGGCTCATTCTTCAGGTATATGTTCATCAGGGGCTTGGTGTCACTGCAGCAGTCACACGGGCCAAAGGTTATGGCCAGGAAGGTCTGGTCACACATCTCAGCAGGTGGACACGCCCAGTGCTGTGGACAGGAGAAGGAGCCATTGGAGATGCACGCTGACAGGAGGGTCACGCCCCTTTCTGACATACTCCGGATGTAGATACTGCGCTGCCGGAATGTGGCATATGCACAGACTCCCCCCCCCCCCCCCAGTTTGGAAACTAACAGCACTCTACAGGATAATCAGGGTAATCTCCCCCAGGTCAGAACTCCAGCATCAGGAAAAAGGCACTGTTCCCAGCTTATGGTGTTAAGTAAGCTACTATTAACAGTTGTGTGACACATTTTCAGAATGTAAATCACAACATCAGTATATAACTGAGAGTCCAAATTCAGACAACATGAGGAAACAGGCACTAAGGCACTGGCAGTAAAAACCATACAAACTATACATACCTGCTTGTTACACCCAGATCATTTGCTAGTCAAACAGTTAAAGTGCAATGTACCATAACAGTTTTATCACCATCGGATGATCTAAATATAGATATTAAGGAGGCTTTTTAAAGATAGTCTATCGAGATAAGACCTGAACATTTTCCATGGTTTAATACTGAAATAAAGATCTGCCAATTATCTTCATGTCCAAAGCTGATATGGGCCTGTAAGACCATCTACAGTTCATGCAACAACCTCACTCTGCTCACAGACCCTCAACACCAACAGTCTAGCTTTAAACATCAGTACACCGCTGTCAGCTTCAGGTCAATGGCAAGAACACAAAGACGAGCAGTTCGGGACAGTCATACCATACCTTCTGAGGGTGAATCTGTAGGAACAGGCTTCCAAGCAGCTGTACTGTGTCTTATGTTGGAAACGACTGGGCTTAAAGGGACGTACAGTAAGCTGCTTAGGGTAGAATTAAAGATTTTGCATGTTCAAGGTGTCGCCTGCAGACCAGACTCTACTGTGCATGCGTGTGTGCATGTGTATGCGCATGCTACATCTGTAATTTGTTATATGCTGGAATATAACAGTTTAATGTCAATACAACTGTACACAGACCCACATAATGCAAATGTAATATATGATGTAATAAATGTACACATTGAAAATCAGATATATTTGTAGCACTTTCAACATTGCTGCATAAAGTACGTAAGCATGTAACAGAGACGTAAACATCCCCAAAAGGCCGACAATCAGCAATTAATATTGTTACATATTAAGGTATATAATGGTATTTTTTATGTAGAGCAGTGTTTCCCAACCCGGGGGGGGGGCACTGAGATCCTTTAAGATGGAATGTCATCAAGTAGAGCAACACTACAATGTACTTGCAACTAGCAAGTAAACCTTCATTGGCAAAAAATACACAGTTCACAAAAAATGAGTTTAGAATTAGAACAGTGACCAATTCAGATATTATTGTTAAAACATTAGGACTTCAAAATGACACTGGCATATGAAATACATTTGGTATTTTGTAGTTACAAAATCAAAAATATTTTGCTCTTAAGAACAATTTACATAATATATTACACACATGTAGTCTATATTCCATTCCAAAATAATTTTATAAGTGATTTAAATTATATTCATCCACAGGTAAAAAACATGTCTTGAGGCAAAACAAAAAAACATTGACACAATGTGTCTGTGCTGATGAAAGATACTCTGCACATAAAATGAACTTGACCTTTTATCTGTGTGTGTGCAACACCATGTTTCCAGGGCATCATTTTTCCCCATGTAAATAACACTTTGTGTAAGGTGGAAAGTTACATTACATGATTAGTATTATTAATGTATTAAAATAGTAACTAATAATTTACTGAATGGAGTTGACACTGGTGCTTTGCAGTACAGGATATCTGTAATAAAAATTTACTTGAAGATTTTTTATAATAACTCATAATTATTAATCCCTTGACAACTGATATTTAAACATTTCATTTGATTCCTCTGATACCTCATTTGACATAATCAGTGTATTTAGATGTAAGAGGCGACCCCGGTGCAGTCACATGATCGCGAGTGTCATATCCTGGTGAGAAAGCCGAGCTTAAGGCTGTGGGGGACCTGGATGAGCTCCAGGGCCTGGGGGGAGGGGGCGAATGGGAAGATGACCTGGTAGCGATACTGTGTGTCCAGCATGAGCTGTGTGGATCCAGTGCGGTCCTGCAATAAAGACTGAGAACAAGAAGCAGAGCAAGACCGATAAATAAATCACTCAGCATATATACCAACTTGCAGTAATTACTTTCCACTGCATCTGTGGAGGTAAATTTAAAAGGCTAGGAAGGCACAGAGGATCCTCTCTGACCCCAGCCATCCCAACCACAGCCTTGTCATGCGGAACAGGAGCATCCAGACCCGAAGCAGCGGGTTTAGAGTCTGTTTTTGTCCACAAGCCATCAGGCTAGTGAACTGCTGATACTAATATTTACACACACACTTTACAATTATGCATGGCACACATGTACCACTAGGGGGACCCTAACCCCACACACGACTGGTGCCGCTCACACTGTACACACACAGACACGTTTCTTATAGTTTACATTGCACAGCACTACTTTTTAAAATATCTTTCTTTTATTTGTTATGTTGTTCTATTATAGTTACTATCTAAAAGTTGAGGTGACTCTGAGACCAAGAACTGCCTTAATGACGATGCATTGTTATCAGTATATTACAACAGAGCTTGAAACTTGCTAAAAGCTTCTCACTTGAACTTTGCGGACGAAAGATGGTGCCACCCGTTTCTCAAAGTCGTCTATGGGTGTGTAGGAGTTCAGAATTTTCACAATCTGAAAGAGGAGAGAAAAGCAGCCAGTTAATGCCACGGCTCCGCTAAGCGTGCCAGAGGAAGGTGACCTGGGGGTGGGCTCTGCCTGGTACCTGCACGGGCGACAGCTCGGTGCACGTCTCCGATATCTGCCTGGCGTCCTCGTCGGTGGATTTGCTGACCTGGAGAAGCCAGGCTGCCTGGGACAGCGGCTCCATGGTCTCGATGGCGCCGGAGGCCTGGAGGTCCTTCTCCTTCAGCCACTCCTCCAGGTAACTAATATTACACCTGGGAAACACCGACCCGATTCATCACCCATTTAGCAGAAAAGCCTGACAGCAGCAGAGTAACAAGCTGCCCAGCATGCACACTTTCCCTCTTACCTACTGCTGTTCAAAGAATTCTCTGAAGAACTGAAGCAGTAGCCTCTACATTAAACAATAGTGCTCAAATACAATGGGGCAGATTGCATTTACGTTTTATTTATTTAACAGATGCTTTTATGCAAAACGACGCACATCTGACAAAGCGGGGTCAGTCAGTCCTTGGAGCAAGTGTGGTTAAGTGCCTTGTTCACAGGCCCTGTGCTGAAATCACTCTGCCAATCATGGGATTTGTGTCCCACACACCATCCCAAATGTACCTACCAATTACCTGCTGCTGATACCAAAACACAACAGGCAAAGCTGTCATCTAGACGCAGAATTCTGAGCTGTCTGTGCTCTGCTTGTGCCTGTGCCTTATATACGCTACCAGTCAAAGGTTTTTTCACATCACTTTTACCACTTTGTTACCAGCTTATTTCATCAACTGCAGATTTTTATTCTTAAGCACTAGAAAGTTGAGTGAACAATTATAAATGAAAACATCAAGTCAAATTAAACAAGTTTCCTTTATAACATGGAAAGATGTATGTAACAGTGCATGTCTGACATCCTATTATGTGGTTGTGTGGTGATGGCGTAGTCAACTTCTAGCCTGTCCTTAAACTTTATGTGCACTGGTTAACTGTTTCATCCCATGAATCAGAGCAGAATTTAATGTCCCTTGTAGAAAGAATGCCTCGAATTTTCTCTGCTGTTATAACTGCTAGAGGAAGTTACTTTGATGAATCAAAGATATGACATTTTGTTGATAATACAAGTACTCAAATGGTGAACATGTACATTTATTTGTTAGCAAAGAATATTGAATGTATATTTAGTAAATGTCAAGCGAGTAACATGCAATCTCAGAAAATCTCAGTGTGTGCAAAAACTTTTGACTGGTAGTGTAACTCTGCATTACAGCTTCATCCGTATAAAAGTATGTGCATATCTCACTTTACAGCCTGTGCACTGATGCCGTCTTTATAGTGCATGCAGGGTGACAGATGGATGTGATCTCAACAAGGCACCTGATCTGCATGCCCTTTCTGCAGGAGCACATGTCCTTCCGCAGCAGGATGCCGTTGAGGGCCACCGTCCCCACCAGGAAGAACTGCTGCCGGACGGCCTGTCGGATGAGGCCAGGCTCCATGCCATGCTGCAGCATGACAGCGTGGAAGTGGCTGAGCTGCTGCAGGATGGAGGAGATGGTGCAGAGCTCGGCGTCCTCGTAGATGCTGTTGGAGCGCTTGCGGAAGCCGGTGGGCTTCATGCTGGAGATGCCCTGCAGGCTCTCGTGCTCCAGCATCCCAGGCACTAGGGGCACACAGTGAGAGCCTTACCAGGCACTAGGGTCACACAGTGAGAGCCTTACCAGGCACTAGGGGCACACAGTGAGAGCCTTACCAGGCACTAGGGGCACACAGAGAGAGCCTTACCAGGCACTAGGGGCACACAGAGAGAGCCTTACCAGGCACTAGGGACACTCAGTGAGAGCCTTAGCAGTGACATCCGAAAGGAAAGACTGAACATGATCACATGGTGCTTCTGTAACACTCTGATGACCAATAGCAGGGGTGGCCAATCTTATCCAAAAAGGGCCGGTGTATATGCGAGTTTTCGCTGCAACTCCCTCATTAGATTACTACTTAGAGGACTGATTGGTTGAAGAGTCCTCACACCTGTGTTTGAGCAGCTGACCTAAAGATTATCCCAAAATCCTGCATACACACTGGCCCTTAGAGGATAAGATTGCCCACCCCTGACCTATAGAATTATATCAGGCCGGGGGGGAGCATGTGGCTCAAAGGGCTAAGCCTCTGTACCAGTAATCGGAAGGTTGTCGGTTTGAGTCCAGCCTTGCTGTAATAGTCACATCTTAAGCCTGAGCTCCATGGGTGCCTCTGCAGGTGGCTGCCCTTCGTTGGCAAGCTTGCTCTCACTTGCATGTGTGTCTCTCATGGAGAGCAAGGGGGAGGTAGGCGATGAGAGAATTTCCCCATGGGGATTGATAAAGTATCATCATTTCATTTCAAACTGTCAGGTAGCTTCAATGTAACAAAAGCAGTAACTGGCTGGACTTTGGTGAATAAGGCTATCTGAGAATGGCACATTTAGTCCTTGATAATTTGCCTACATGGAGAAAAGTATAAATTTAGGCATAAATAAATCTCATGAGTAACTAAATAAAGGTTATAAACTGATTTTTTTTCTCTTTATTTTTTATACATTTAATAAAGATTCCACAAGGGGGAGCCCTTACCCCAAGAATTAACACCAACTTAGGCGGCTGCTCCAGTCCGAGCTGATGAAAGCTGAGCTGAGCCCAGAATAGCGGTTGGAGCTAGTGCTGCATGCGCTCTGACACACGCTTACACAACAGACACACGCGTTGGCGTGCGCACGCGCACACACACACGGCCTTCTACCCACCAATCAGCGGCATCAGGGCTTTTTCCATGACGCTGGCAAACTGGTGATAGATGTGAATGGCGAGGTCACTGAAAATCTGTCTGTACTCAGATAGATCAAAATTCTGCAGGGAGTTCTTGTTCTGCCGTGGGGTGTTGTACTTCATGAAGTCCTTCGGAGAACACAGCCAGCAAAAGCAAGGGTTAGCTATTTACCTCACCAAATGCATCAACATATAATCCGTTTTCCTCTGGTCCGTTATCACATACAGAGTACGTCTGCTGTACAACGGCCTACCTCCTCCCCGCTGTACTGCTTCAGAGAGTTGAGCATGTAGTAGGTGTTGGAAAGCCAGAATGACAGCATCTCAAAGTCTTCCAGGTGTTTCTGAAAAAACGAGTACATGACTTATTTTGTAAAACACTTTACTTTCACAGATACGGTAGGTCTACAGTGAAACTAGATACAAGATGTCCTTGAGGACAGTACATGAAGATGGAAGGATTTCGAAGGTCCACAAGGCCTCAGGTGTCTGGGTCAGCATCTCACCCTGATGATCTTCTTGATGCCGTCAATGATGCTGCTCATTAAGGACTTGAGCTTGGCGTCGTCGTTAAGATAGTCCGCGTGGCGGATGCACATGAATAGGACGTAAGCGGCCAGCCCAGGGATCATGTTAACCACCACCCCCCTCGGTTTTAGGTCTGCCAGGAGCGGGAAGGACAGTTAGCATGACATATCTATACGTGATACACAGCAAGGTCAACCTGATGTCCATCACAGCAGTTAGCCATAAGCATGACATCATTATGACATCAACAACCACCTATGCTACATCAACCATAAACATGAACAGGACTGTCCGTACCAAAAATAATATTTTGGATAAGCCTTAATTCATCTTCCCTTTTGTATTCCAGCATGCCGAGATACTCTTTGGGGACAGCAGAGACTTGATTTTGATTGGCTGTGGTGGAATAGAGAGGCAGGAATTAACAATGTAGTGCAGATCTTTCAAAGAAAAAATCACATGGGAGCGTTTAGTTCAGTATTACCATTCTCCACTTTCAGAAGACTCTTGATCTGATTCTGTAGTTTCCTTATTAACCTGTCTTTCATATCAAGCTGTTCCTCAAAGTCCTGGAATGAAAACATAAACATTTACAGTGAAAATCAAACCCCCTGGAGGGGATCGGAGCAGACCTTGGGCCTAGGCATCCCCGGCACTCGCCATGTTCTCCGCAGTGAGCCGCGACGTCTCCAGTCGCAGACGGCTCTTGGCTTCACTCTCAGCCTGCTGCTGCTTCCTCAGCTGGGTGTTCCCCTCCTCTTTCTCCTCCAGTCGGCTCTCCAGCTCCGCTTTCTCCCTTTCAAATTCTGCCTTTTGCTGCTCCAAGAGCCTGTAGACAAAAGGAATCATATTTTAAAAGACTATTTAAACACATGGAGAGCTGTTTACGATCTTGACTTTGCTGCTAGTTCAATCACGCTGAGATGCTGTTTTTCAGCTCCAGCATGAACACGGCGTACCTTCTCTGTAGGCCTTCCTCTTCTAGGCTGCTGCGGAGACTGCTTGAGACGTCTTCCATTTTACCTAGGGTAGACAAAATGGCAACATCCAAACTGAAAACGTGACTTGGGGATATACAAAACTGCTCATAGCCATCATATAAAACTAATTAATTCTTTGACTTTTCATCATTCAGAACTGTACATAGAACAAGTGTATAGAGCAGGGTTCCTCAGTTCCAGTCCTGGAGGGCCAGAATCCAACACTGTTTGCAGATTTCCCTGCTCAGACACAGCGACTAAACCTGGTAAATAGCCAATTAAGATGTGTCTAGGCAGGGAAATCTGCAAATTGTGTTAGATTTTGGCCCTTCAGAACTGGAAATGGGAAATCCAAGTGAATGGAAAATGGATGGACGGAAAGATTTTTCATCTTTTGACATCAAGCAGGTAATTTGCATGAGCCTTAGCCTTGATTGTCTTCTGGCGAAAACTTGACATTGACAAAATGCTAATGTTAATAATGGGTTTGAAAATTCAGGATGGACTCTCAGTCAACACTTGGCATCTACTGGATGTCATTCCCTCTGACCTTTCATCTCTGCAGCCTGCTCTGTTATGCGGGCTTCTAGATCTTGATTATGTCTCTGTAGTTCTGACACCTGCTGCTTAAACTGTGGTATTACCTGCATGTGGGAACACAACACGCACAGTCATAACCCAAAAGGGCAGAACACAGCGTACACAGCTCAGCAGAGCAGGACCTCGAGCTAGACCTTGGAGGAAACTGACTAAGAAAGGCACACACCACCACTGATTGATGTTTATAGGTGTTCACCTCGAGACCACAGCTGGAAAATGCTACCAACACAAGAGCATCAGAGACCCATAACGTTTCCAACAGCAATGACATTTTGTTGTGAACTTCCCATAAACACAGATACGTGATGCTTTTTGGGTCTTCAACCTGCATCTCCACCCTCCTACCATGTTCTCAGCAGCGAGCCGAGCCACCTCTTGCCGGATGCTGTCTTTGATGTTGTTCTCTTCCTGGAAGAGCTTCTGCAGCTGGTTGTTCTCATTCTGCAGATGATCCATCTGGAGCCTCAGGCTTTGGACTTCTCGGTCATTGTCCTGTTTCTGAGCCTGAGAACGCATCTCCATTACTCTGTGTTTCGAGGAACAGACAAAGTCATAATTGTAGCTGCTTCACAAGAGAATCTCATAATATGTTACAAACACATGCATAAATACAACAAATATAATGAAATGAGACCTGCTGGCTTCACGTAGAGCTTCATAAGCAAACAGAAATTCTCCATCTTCACCAAAATCTTCAGGATTCTCAGGAATTATCCTTCAAATATGGTGAAATGTATGACCACTAAGTGTGCAAATTTTTTCAAAGTTTATGCAGCAATGTAATGACAAAGCTGTGAAATCGTACCTGGCAAGAAGTTCATTGTCATTTATACCACCAAGAAGTTGTCTGGTGACCATAGAAATTTTCTCTAATATAGAAGAGAATGTCAGATCTAAAACCACCACATGCTAATAAAACAGCATAACATCAGTGACATAACACTAAAATTCACATTCAAACTTGATAAACATTATTTATACAGTGATGTGCCATTGAAATGGTAGCAATTTCCAACTGTTCCGAGGTAAACCACCACAGACGGACGCCAATCAGTGTGTCTACCTCCTGCTTCCTGTCTCTGTTGCTTTAGCTTTCTATCCAGGTCATCTTTCTGCGTTTGGAGGGTGTGGACCTCTTTCCGCAGTTCTGGTATCATCTTTAAAGACGCACAACAGCATGCTTTGCTAACTAGCCAACATGAATCATACATTACTAAATGACTAGTCAATGAGAATCACATACCACATACTGACGAGTCAGCTAGAATTTGTGAAATGAATGATAATTCCAAGGTAGAATGAAATGTTATTCTGTAAACATCTTGAGAAGAATAGTGGTAAAACTAGACTTACTTTGACGTGCTTAGTAAGCTGCAGAACTTGTTCCTGTAAGTCACGGTTGACTTGACTCTCTTCCTCAATCTGCTGCTGGAAACTAACATTCTGCTCCCTCGACCTCCTGTTCTCCTCTTTCATAGCTTCTACCTGTTTCTCATAGTCCTCCTTCTGGATTTCGATGTTATTCTCCACAATTCTGGCATAGAAAAAAAAAAGTTATTCTTAACCACATTCCATACCACGTGTTATTTACTGGGAAGGGGGGGGCAGCGTGTGGCTCAGTGGGCTAACCCTTTGTGCCTGTGATCAAAAGGTCACCAATTCACGCCCTTACTTTCTTTGCCTTTCTTCCCTCCCAAGTTCTTCTTGAAACCTCTTCTTTAATACCTCAGTGCTGTCTGGAAATTCGCACAGAAAAAAAGCAGTCAGTGATTTTTTTCCTGGTCAGGATACAGCTAAAGGCGATGTCTCTCTCTCCTCACCCTTCATTTCCTGCACAGAATCTGCATGTCTCCGCTCCATGTCCTGCTTCTCTTGAGCAAGCCTGTCATTCTGAGCTTGAAGCTGAAGAATCACCTTTGGGCCATGTTAGAAATTCATGGGGTAATTTGCAGTTATTTCTTCCAACACTGAAATAAATCATGTCTGTTTCTCTGTTCACTGCATTTAGCTTTACTAACTTTTCCACTAACTGTTACAGGCATTCAACACTAGACTCTCTGTGTCAAGATCAAGAAAGACTTTTTTGTCATGTTCTCCAGCATCCACCTGGTCTGTGTTCTCCTTGTTCATCTTCTCGCGCTGCTCCAGGGACTTCCTGTCATTGATGGATTTGCTGAGCTCCGTCTCCAGCCTCTGAAGCTTGTCCAGGTCTTGAGCACGAGAGTTTGCAAAGGTGGTCAGCCTTTCCAGCAAGCCGTGGTTCTCTCTGCTCTGTTAGGGAGAAATTTGGAAATGGCAAGACTCCAAATCTCTCTCTCTCAAGCATCAGCCTTTCAATGTCATCCTGCATCTGCCTGAAGTGCTAGACAAACTTTACTATTATTAATAACAACAATAGTAATGATGACAATTTATTGATCACTGTGGGGAAATGATCTTTTCACCTACCCCATCTTGCTCTCCATGACACACATACTGTATAAGTGAGAGCAATCTAACAGCAAACAGCAGCCACTTGCAGAGGCGCCCATGGAGCTGAAGGTTATGGGCCTTGCTCATGAACCCACAGACGTGACTACCCTGCTGAGGCAGGGCTTGAACCAGCAACCTTCCGATAACAGCCACAGAGGCTTAGCCCCCTGANCACACAGAGAGAGCCTTACCAGGCACTAGAGTCACACAGTGAGAGCCTTACCAGGCACTAGGGTCACACAGTGAGAGCCTTACCAGGCACTAGGGGCACACAGTGAGAGCCTTACCAGGCACTAGGGGCACACAGAGAGAGCCTTACCAGGCACTAGGGGCACACAGAGAGAGCCTTACCAGGCACTAGGGGCACACAGAGAGAGCCTTACCAGGCACTAGGGACACTCAGTGAGAGCCTTAGCAGTGACATCCGAAAGGAAAGACTGAACATGATCACATGGTGCTTCTGTAACACTCTGATGACCAATAGCAGGGGTGGCCAATCTTATCCAAAAAGGGCCGGTGTATATGCGAGTTTTCGCTGCAACTCCCTCATTAGATTACTACTTAGAGGACTGATTGGTTGAAGAGTCCTCACACCTGTGTTTGAGCAGCTGACCTAAAGATTATCCCAAAATCCTGCATACACACTGGCCCTTAGAGGATAAGATTGCCCACCCCTGACCTATAGAATTATATCAGGCCGGGGGGGAGCATGTGGCTCAAAGGGCTAAGCCTCTGTACCAGTAATCGGAAGGTTGTCGGTTTGAGTCCAGCCTTGCTGTAATAGTCACATCTTAAGCCTGAGCTCCATGGGTGCCTCTGCAGGTGGCTGCCCTTCGTTGGCAAGCTTGCTCTCACTTGCATGTGTGTCTCTCATGGAGAGCAAGGGGGAGGTAGGCGATGAGAGAATTTCCCCATGGGGATTGATAAAGTATCATCATTTCATTTCAAACTGTCAGGTAGCTTCAATGTAACAAAAGCAGTAACTGGCTGGACTTTGGTGAATAAGGCTATCTGAGAATGGCACATTTAGTCCTTGATAATTTGCCTACATGGAGAAAAGTATAAATTTAGGCATAAATAAATCTCATGAGTAACTAAATAAAGGTTATAAACTGATTTTTTTTCTCTTTATTTTTTATACATTTAATAAAGATTCCACAAGGGGGAGCCCTTACCCCAAGAATTAACACCAACTTAGGCGGCTGCTCCAGTCCGAGCTGATGAAAGCTGAGCTGAGCCCAGAATAGCGGTTGGAGCTAGTGCTGCATGCGCTCTGACACACGCTTACACAACAGACACACGCGTTGGCGTGCGCACGCGCACACACACACGGCCTTCTACCCACCAATCAGCGGCATCAGGGCTTTTTCCATGACGCTGGCAAACTGGTGATAGATGTGAATGGCGAGGTCACTGAAAATCTGTCTGTACTCAGATAGATCAAAATTCTGCAGGGAGTTCTTGTTCTGCCGTGGGGTGTTGTACTTCATGAAGTCCTTCGGAGAACACAGCCAGCAAAAGCAAGGGTTAGCTATTTACCTCACCAAATGCATCAACATATAATCCGTTTTCCTCTGGTCCGTTATCACATACAGAGTACGTCTGCTGTACAACGGCCTACCTCCTCCCCGCTGTACTGCTTCAGAGAGTTGAGCATGTAGTAGGTGTTGGAAAGCCAGAATGACAGCATCTCAAAGTCTTCCAGGTGTTTCTGAAAAAACGAGTACATGACTTATTTTGTAAAACACTTTACTTTCACAGATACGGTAGGTCTACAGTGAAACTAGATACAAGATGTCCTTGAGGACAGTACATGAAGATGGAAGGATTTCGAAGGTCCACAAGGCCTCAGGTGTCTGGGTCAGCATCTCACCCTGATGATCTTCTTGATGCCGTCAATGATGCTGCTCATTAAGGACTTGAGCTTGGCGTCGTCGTTAAGATAGTCCGCGTGGCGGATGCACATGAATAGGACGTAAGCGGCCAGCCCAGGGATCATGTTAACCACCACCCCCCTCGGTTTTAGGTCTGCCAGGAGCGGGAAGGACAGTTAGCATGACATATCTATACGTGATACACAGCAAGGTCAACCTGATGTCCATCACAGCAGTTAGCCATAAGCATGACATCATTATGACATCAACAACCACCTATGCTACATCAACCATAAACATGAACAGGACTGTCCGTACCAAAAATAATATTTTGGATAAGCCTTAATTCATCTTCCCTTTTGTATTCCAGCATGCCGAGATACTCTTTGGGGACAGCAGAGACTTGATTTTGATTGGCTGTGGTGGAATAGAGAGGCAGGAATTAACAATGTAGTGCAGATCTTTCAAAGAAAAAATCACATGGGAGCGTTTAGTTCAGTATTACCATTCTCCACTTTCAGAAGACTCTTGATCTGATTCTGTAGTTTCCTTATTAACCTGTCTTTCATATCAAGCTGTTCCTCAAAGTCCTGGAATGAAAACATAAACATTTACAGTGAAAATCAAACCCCCTGGAGGGGATCGGAGCAGACCTTGGGCCTAGGCATCCCCGGCACTCGCCATGTTCTCCGCAGTGAGCCGCGACGTCTCCAGTCGCAGACGGCTCTTGGCTTCACTCTCAGCCTGCTGCTGCTTCCTCAGCTGGGTGTTCCCCTCCTCTTTCTCCTCCAGTCGGCTCTCCAGCTCCGCTTTCTCCCTTTCAAATTCTGCCTTTTGCTGCTCCAAGAGCCTGTAGACAAAAGGAATCATATTTTAAAAGACTATTTAAACACATGGAGAGCTGTTTACGATCTTGACTTTGCTGCTAGTTCAATCACGCTGAGATGCTGTTTTTCAGCTCCAGCATGAACACGGCGTACCTTCTCTGTAGGCCTTCCTCTTCTAGGCTGCTGCGGAGACTGCTTGAGACGTCTTCCATTTTACCTAGGGTAGACAAAATGGCAACATCCAAACTGAAAACGTGACTTGGGGATATACAAAACTGCTCATAGCCATCATATAAAACTAATTAATTCTTTGACTTTTCATCATTCAGAACTGTACATAGGACAAGTGTATAGAGCAGGGTTCCTCAGTTCCAGTCCTGGAGGGCCAGAATCCAACACTGTTTGCAGATTTCCCTGCTCAGACACAGCGACTAAACCTGGTAAATAGCCAATTAAGATGTGTCTAGGCAGGGAAATCTGCAAATTGTGTTAGATTTTGGCCCTTCAGAACTGGAAATGGGAAATCCAAGTGAATGGAAAATGGATGGACGGAAAGATTTTTCATCTTTTGACATCAAGCAGGTAATTTGCATGAGCCTTAGCCTTGATTGTCTTCTGGCGAAAACTTGACATTGACAAAATGCTAATGTTAATAATGGGTTTGAAAATTCAGGATGGACTCTCAGTCAACACTTGGCATCTACTGGATGTCATTCCCTCTGACCTTTCATCTCTGCAGCCTGCTCTGTTATGCGGGCTTCTAGATCTTGATTATGTCTCTGTAGTTCTGACACCTGCTGCTTAAACTGTGGTATTACCTGCATGTGGGAACACAACACGCACAGTCATAACCCAAAAGGGCAGAACACAGCGTACACAGCTCAGCAGAGCAGGACCTCGAGCTAGACCTTGGAGGAAACTGACTAAGAAAGGCACACACCACCACTGATTGATGTTTATAGGTGTTCACCTCGAGACCACAGCTGGAAAATGCTACCAACACAAGAGCATCAGAGACCCATAACGTTTCCAACAGCAATGACATTTTGTTGTGAACTTCCCATAAACACAGATACGTGATGCTTTTTGGGTCTTCAACCTGCATCTCCACCCTCCTACCATGTTCTCAGCAGCGAGCCGAGCCACCTCTTGCCGGATGCTGTCTTTGATGTTGTTCTCTTCCTGGAAGAGCTTCTGCAGCTGGTTGTTCTCATTCTGCAGATGATCCATCTGGAGCCTCAGGCTTTGGACTTCTCGGTCATTGTCCTGTTTCTGAGCCTGAGAACGCATCTCCATTACTCTGTGTTTCGAGGAACAGACAAAGTCATAATTGTAGCTGCTTCACAAGAGAATCTCATAATATGTTACAAACACATGCATAAATACAACAAATATAATGAAATGAGACCTGCTGGCTTCACGTAGAGCTTCATAAGCAAACAGAAATTCTCCATCTTCACCAAAATCTTCAGGATTCTCAGGAATTATCCTTCAAATATGGTGAAATGTATGACCACTAAGTGTGCAAATTTTTTCAAAGTTTATGCAGCAATGTAATGACAAAGCTGTGAAATCGTACCTGGCAAGAAGTTCATTGTCATTTATACCACCAAGAAGTTGTCTGGTGACCATAGAAATTTTCTCTAATATAGAAGAGAATGTCAGATCTAAAACCACCACATGCTAATAAAACAGCATAACATCAGTGACATAACACTAAAATTCACATTCAAACTTGATAAACATTATTTATACAGTGATGTGCCATTGAAATGGTAGCAATTTCCAACTGTTCCGAGGTAAACCACCACAGACGGACGCCAATCAGTGTGTCTACCTCCTGCTTCCTGTCTCTGTTGCTTTAGCTTTCTATCCAGGTCATCTTTCTGCGTTTGGAGGGTGTGGACCTCTTTCCGCAGTTCTGGTATCATCTTTAAAGACGCACAACAGCATGCTTTGCTAACTAGCCAACATGAATCATACATTACTAAATGACTAGTCAATGAGAATCACATACCACATACTGACGAGTCAGCTAGAATTTGTGAAATGAATGATAATTCCAAGGTAGAATGAAATGTTATTCTGTAAACATCTTGAGAAGAATAGTGGTAAAACTAGACTTACTTTGACGTGCTTAGTAAGCTGCAGAACTTGTTCCTGTAAGTCACGGTTGACTTGACTCTCTTCCTCAATCTGCTGCTGGAAACTAACATTCTGCTCCCTCGACCTCCTGTTCTCCTCTTTCATAGCTTCTACCTGTTTCTCATAGTCCTCCTTCTGGATTTCGATGTTATTCTCCACAATTCTGGCATAGAAAAAAAAAAGTTATTCTTAACCACATTCCATACCACGTGTTATTTACTGGGAAGGGGGGGGCAGCGTGTGGCTCAGTGGGCTAACCCTTTGTGCCTGTGATCAAAAGGTCACCAATTCACGCCCTTACTTTCTTTGCCTTTCTTCCCTCCCAAGTTCTTCTTGAAACCTCTTCTTTAATACCTCAGTGCTGTCTGGAAATTCGCACAGAAAAAAAGCAGTCAGTGATTTTTTTCCTGGTCAGGATACAGCTAAAGGCGATGTCTCTCTCTCCTCACCCTTCATTTCCTGCACAGAATCTGCATGTCTCCGCTCCATGTCCTGCTTCTCTTGAGCAAGCCTGTCATTCTGAGCTTGAAGCTGAAGAATCACCTTTGGGCCATGTTAGAAATTCATGGGGTAATTTGCAGTTATTTCTTCCAACACTGAAATAAATCATGTCTGTTTCTCTGTTCACTGCATTTAGCTTTACTAACTTTTCCACTAACTGTTACAGGCATTCAACACTAGACTCTCTGTGTCAAGATCAAGAAAGACTTTTTTGTCATGTTCTCCAGCATCCACCTGGTCTGTGTTCTCCTTGTTCATCTTCTCGCGCTGCTCCAGGGACTTCCTGTCATTGATGGATTTGCTGAGCTCCGTCTCCAGCCTCTGAAGCTTGTCCAGGTCTTGAGCGCGAGAGTTTGCAAAGGTGGTCAGCCTTTCCAGCAAGCCGTGGTTCTCTCTGCTCTGTTAGGGAGAAATTTGGAAATGGCAAGACTCCAAATCTCTCTCTCTCAAGCATCAGCCTTTCAATGTCATCCTGCATCTGCCTGAAGTGCTAGACAAACTTTACTATTATTAATAACAACAATAGTAATGATGACAATTTATTGATCACTGTGGGGAAATGATCTTTTCACCTACCCCATCTTGCTCTCCATGACACACATACTGTATAAGTGAGAGCAATCTAACAGCAAACAGCAGCCACTTGCAGAGGCGCCCATGGAGCTGAAGGTTATGGGCCTTGCTCATGAACCCACAGACGTGACTACCCTGCTGAGGCAGGGCTTGAACCAGCAACCTTCCGATAACAGCCACAGAGGCTTAGCCCCCTGAGCCACGCGCTACCCCGGTACAGCATCATTAGTATCTTGTGAGGTTCCTGTTGCCGCTGCTCTTACCTGCTCCTCCAGCTTCTTCTTCAGCTGCTGGACTCTGTAGGACAGTTGAACATTGAGAACGAGTCGGCGGATGTTCTGGAAGCGACGCCGGGCCAGCCATGCTCGGGCGTACTTCTGCAGCACCACGGCCTTATGGTCTGCCACCATCTGAAGTGGGCCGCACACGTGCACCCGCACACGCACACAAAATTACGCACACACACACACACAAAGGCTGCCTTTCAATAACCTTTACCCACAACACTGGGCCAATGGATCACACCAAATGCTCAAGCTGGCTATAGATCTTCACCTGTCTGTAGCGTTTCCGGGCGAGCCACCCCCTGGCGTAGGCCTGGATGGTCAGAGTGGCCACCTTCACCAGCTTATACACCTGCCGGACCAGGAATCCGCGGCAGTACTTCTGGATGACGATAGCTGCCCAGGCTTGCTTCAGCATCTCAGCCGTAATAGCTTGTCTACAACAGCATTGATGCATAACAATGAGAAACAACTACCTCTACAGTGAGCCAGGTAACCAAAGTGAAGGCGTGAACCATGCAACTCCTAGATCAAAGAATATACAACGACATCCTGGCAGATTAATGTCTACAGATAAGGGAATTTTTCCGAGGCTCTTCCTAGCAGATTGACCACCAGGGCATGAAGATGCCCTCTTCCTCACCGGATCAGCCTCTTTCCACGCACATACTGCTGGATGGTGGTGGCTGCAGCCTGCATGCGCAGGAACTTCTTGCGTTGATTCCAGCCACGCAGGTGCTTCTGGATGGTGATGCAGGCCTCCCGTAGGCGATCGGACCGCAGCTTCTCCAGGTAGGCCACCTGGCCAGCACGGAAGAAGATTTTGGTCCGGCCAAACTTGTACTGGTTAGGGTCCTAGGGAGGAGGTTCAGCAATGAGTAATGAGGGGGTGTAATATGCTGACATGCAGCCCCCAAACGCACGCTGCATTAAAATCATCAGAGACTCTGAGGCATCTCAAGATGCCAGTGTAGGACTCACCTGGATTAACCTCTGAAGGACATTCTTACATGTCTGCTTCTTGTCCATAAGGCCCAGCTCAGACTGGGTCATCAGAATACTGTAGCGACTGTAGAACTCAATGTAAGTCCACCTGGGAAGAAAAAAAAAAATCCAAAATTATATTTCAATTATTCCTGACTAGCCATCACACTCCCAGAGAATTGTCTGTCTGGGGATCTCTGAAACCCGGTTTGAGAAACACTGGTCTGCGTACAGTAAGCCACAGGTATCAGAATCAAAGCACAAGATAGGAACAAACAAAAAGTACAGATTGATGAATGAGAACTACATTCAGGGATCCCAGAATATGACATAAAACTGGCCACAGCTGTAAATTAAAAGCCAAGAACCAGTTCCTGACACTGGGTTGGACTTATGGGCACCTTGAGGGGTAGCTCTGAGCGCTGATACGAATGGTCTCCAGAACTCCACAGGCCCGGAGCTGCTGCACCACTCGTTTGGAGTCATACCTGAAGCACAAGAGAATCCATGCTGAGGGAGTAGGCCTCCCAGAGGGAGTAGGCCTCCCAGACTCCACTAAAGAGCTCTAAAAACAGCGTCTAAAGTATTTTCTCAAGAGCTTATAAAAAAAAACAAACAAACATTATTTCAATTAAGTGATCAAAAGTTCCTGTGCTCAATACATACTCAAAAGGATTTTTTTCATCGTTCGGTTTTATGCAGCGCACATAATGAGGGGTGGTGGCGTTCAGCGTTTCCATCAAGAGGGATAGGGAGTTGCGGAACTGCAAGCCAACAGACGTGAGAGCAGTCAGTGCAGCCAAACGTGCTCAGCTTCAGCCAACCAGTCAATCAGGACACAGGAATCTGACATGCTCCTACCTTGTTGCCCACAGTTGTCCTGAGCTGCTTATTGGCTGGTTTCAGGCCCGGCCTGGCAGGCCTGACGTTAATGCCCTTACTTAGGGGAGGGACCTGATCTTCCGCTTGGAAGAAATCTGATAGGAGATGGAACTGGAAAAAAAGAAGTACAGTCTAGCATTTTAAGAGATGCTAAAAAGAGTGCAATATACAGTAGTTATAGACAGTCCTGGGATGCTTGCTTAATTCTTTTAAAATATCGCAAATTTATTGATTTTATGACAAAAATCATTCATTTATTCAATTCTTTACAAAAATATGTATCACTTTAGAAACAACCTGCAGTTTTAAGTAAAACACCCATTTCAAGTATTAATAAATCCAAATTATACTTTTAAAAGAGCGGTTTAGTAGCGCCTTTGAAATAACATAAAATACCAAACATTTGTGTTTAGTATCCATTTGGGAGACAATGACTATAATTGCGATTAAAAGCAAAATGGCAAAAACAGAACTGAATGAGTTAGCCAAAAAATGATGGCACTTAAAAACAAGAAAATGTCTGTGTGGAAGATATGTACAGATTTGTTAAACATTGCTTGTCAATGGACTTTTGTTATGAAACCAGTTAATTTCCAATATTGTTTACAGAAGCGTCCTTTCTGTGAGCACTGAATATACATACTGTATATGTAAACAAAAATATTTTTTCAGCCCCGTACTTTGCTGTCCTTCATGATGTCCACCAGCTCTTCATAAAGTACATCTCTGTTCTTTTCCAGAAAGCCTCTGCACTGATACTCCACCTGCACAATAAAGTCTGTCATTGAAAGCAGGTGACTTTCCTGGGTCTGCCAGCGTTTTTTTTGTCCATCTTGACTGATTGTCAGGGTTAACAGCAGATAGGAAACAGTTTGACAATCACCTTGCTAACCTACAGCTAAGATTCAAGTTCAGATGTGTAAATTAGACATAATTAAATATGATTTACTACAACTAACAAAATTAATAAGACTAGTGGGCTTTGCTAAGAAACTTACATATTGAAATGTAGTCAGTCCTACAGAATTAGGAATAACTCAGAGTTTGTCCTTTTCTGAGGTTAAGCAGTTTGTATATGCTGCCACAGAGACTAAAATTGTCATGCAGTATGTTTACAAGCCGCTGCTTTCTGTGCTCAGAGTGAATTTGTAAGCAGAATAAACTGCCATTGAAGTTTGAAGATACTGTTCACAGAGAAACACAAGTGTTCAGAATAATTTTGCCTCTGAAAATATTCAGTTTTCAATAGTTTCTGGCCACTCATTCGAAAAAAAAGTCAGATACTACTTCAATATTACCTACTTTATACCAAGTGTACTGTATGTAAACCGATAGATCTGAAGTAAGGGGCCTGTACTATTTTAAAATGCAAGTGCATGACAGTGTTTCATGCAAGCGGCCCATTGACCTGTCAGTCCAAGGCACCCCACCTTGTCAGCAAAGTGCTGAATCACAAAGGCCTGGTTTGACATCCTGGGCTTTTCAAAGAGTGCATTCTTGTCCAGGTAGTTGTTGTATAGTTTCTGGAGCCAGTTCTGGTCAGTTCCCTGTGGAAACTGGAATGGAAAGTAATAGTAGAGCTAAAAACACACTGCACAAAACCCACAAATAAAACCACTAGTCAATTCAAATATGTAAACTAAAAGAGTAATTCCCCACTTAAAACAGTACAAGGTAAAAGAATGTTACCAAGCACTCTTCATCCAGTAAGTCCAGTATGCCCATTTTGGCTTCAATGAGGTCAATAACAGGCTGGTTGTCATAGAAATCAATCAATGTCCATGGGATGTCTTCCTTCATGTACTCCTCTTGTTCCAGTTTGAAAACATGCTGTGAGACACACATGAGCAGGAATGCATATATATTGATCAAATAAAATTATTCTGTTTGTATTTCATTTTCAGTGCTGGAAAATAAAACTTTGACATACCAGGTTAAACTGCTGTTGCAGCTTTTCATTTGCATAGTTAATACAAAACTGTTCAAAGCTGTTAACCTCAAACGTTTCAAACCTGGTAAAAAGACAGATGGACTAATCAGTGAGACAATCCTCAGCCATCTTACAGAATAAGATTGGAAGTATCTCTGGACAGCAAGCCACAAACCTCAATTCACTTACAGGAATTGTCCCTAGACAGCAGGCCGCAAAGCTCGATTCACTGACAGGAAGTGTCCCTAAACAGCAGGCCGCAAAGCCTAACACACAGACAGGAAGTGTCCTTAGACAGCAGGCCACAAAGCCCAACATACAGACAGGAAGTGTCCCTAGACAGCAGGCTGCAGAGCCCAAAACACAGACAGAAAGAGTCTCTAGACTGCAGGCCGCAAAGCCAAAATCATAGACGGAAAGTGTCTCTAGACAGCAGGCCGCAAAGCCCGATACAGTAACAGGGAGTTTGCCTAGACAGCAGGCCGCAAAGCCAAACACACAGACAGGAAGTGTCCTTAGACAGCAGGCCGCAAAGCCCAACATACAGACAGGAAGTGTTCCTAGAAAGCAGGCCGCAGAGCCCAAAACACAGACAGGAAGTGTCCTTAGAGAGCAGGCTGCAAAGCCCAAAACATAGACGGGAAGTGTCTCTAGACAGCAGGCCAGAAAGCCTGAGGTACCCGTAAATGTCCAGCACCCCGATGAAGGTGTGCTGTTTGCCAGCAAACCGCAGCATTGTGTTGATGTTGCGGATGACGCAGTCGAAGAGGTGGGCGTAGATGTGCTTGGCCAGGGCATCGCGGGCGTTGACTGCACGCTCCCTGGGAACAGGCTTCACCACGGTCTCAGCCACAAGCACGATGCGTCGGTGGCACAGCCAGCGGGACAAGCCTTCGACGCTGACACCCAGAAGATCGCAGAAGGTGGCCAGGTGCCTGTCGCTGGTCTGGGGAGGGGGGTGGGGGATAGGCCAGGATGAGGCTCACAACGTCCTCTTCCAATGTGCCCCGTTTCCAGTCCTTTTTTAAAGCCAAAACTCCCACTTGTTCCTGCCTAACAGCGAGTTAAGAAAACTCACACTGACTGATGAGGTGTCAGTCCCTTTGGATTTGATCTGTATGTTTCCCAAATGCAGAATTCCCGCTAGCACCTTGAATACATCCAACTGAAAGGTTTCCTTCAGCCCTGGGGGAAGAGATGGAGGGTAAACAGGGGTGCTTTAACAAGGGCCGAGGCCAGGTTTCGGTGGGGCCGCCCTCACCCAGCAGAGAGAATGTCCGCCGTGTCTCTGCCATCTCCGCTCTGTCGTCCACGCCATCAATGCTGGTCGCACCTCCCATACTTGTGTAGGTGAATTCATCCGCTCTCACTGCAAACAGAAACATTCAGGACCGATAATTCTGCATTTCATTCACTTATGATATGTTTGCATTAGATTCATAACCAAAACTCAACAAACCCACTGCGATTTAACAAAGACCCAATTCCATGTGCTTCAAATAAAAATATTTCAAAGACTGATCTCCACTGAGGCAGGTGCAATAAGAACTGCAGTAAGTATAGAAAAAAAGATCAAGTCAGTGATGAAACTTGCACGTTATTCTCAATATAAACACTTACATAGGAATATATGCAAATGCAGAGCAATGTACTCGCAGAAGAGACATTCAGACATAAACACACTTCCCTAAAATCCTGACTCTTTAGATGTAGGTCATTTTAAACCATCAGAACAGAGAGAATGTAACAGGACACCAACCCCTTTCTAAATTTAAACTCGACAAGAAAATCCTACCAGGGAAACAAGATGTGTCTGGGATTGAGTTTTATGCTATATTAACTAGCCCTGGTACCCAAAGGTGGGTAGTTCAGGTCCAGAGAGTCAAGACCAAGATTTTATTTCAACCAACCAGTTGAGTGCTCTGTGACTGTGACTCTTTATACTCAACTGCTCGGTTGAAACAAAATTTTGGTCTGGACATTAACTCATTGGACCTGAATTGCCCACCTCTGCTGGTACCTCACCCCAACACACACACAGAATTACTCACATAGTCTCAGGTCCTTGAATTCTGGCTCGTCTGCACATGCACACATCTGGTAGAATATGTGATAGTTTCTCTCATTCTCTGACTGAAGAAAAGACTGGATTACTGTGGGAATTCAGATTCTCCCCCACCTACAGAGACGACAGGTAGGCACTGCAGCTTATGCTACGTTATTTTCACGGAGCAGAGCAATGAGTCTTATGTCAAATATGAATAAAAGTTAAAATGCATTCAAACAAATGACAAAAATAACACTTCACCTGAAATACTACTCTGGATTTCTCCAGAAGGTACGTTCTCATATTCGCCCCAATGATTTGATATCTTCGGTCAAAACTAATCTCCGTGTACTTCCCAAAACGGCTGCTGTTGTCATTTCTAGTTGTCTTTGCATTGCCGATGGCCTGACAAGGAACAGCAAAAATATATACAGGTGAAAATTCCAGGTGATGCAGTTCCTCACATTGCAATGTATTTCCCAGGCGATTCAAGGTATAAAGTGACTTGTGTCCATTGTGTAAAAAGTGTAGGAAGTTCAGAACCATGTGCTGACCTCTGTTATGGGGTTGGATGCTAGAACCTTGTCCTCCACATGAGCCTTGCTGCCAGACTTACTGACCATAGCAAAATACCTCATGGTGTACCTGGCAGACACAGTTTTCCCTGCCCCAGACTCTCCACTCACTATGATGGACTGGTTCTTGTTCTTCCTGGCAAAGTAGAAACAAGATTTTCACCAGGAAAAGAATCGAATGCCATTGCTGCTGAGGAGAGCAGTGACCTACTGAGTTATTACATTACTGGTAGTTATTATATTATTGGCTGCTACGCTCAGGAAGAGTCAATAATCATTTTTTAAATCATGAAACGTTACACAATCTATACACTTTCCTCCACTGATGGCCTGTTTTCAGTACACATGTGCTGTTAGAATAAACGATTCCATATGTAAACCCTTCTGACAAACTTTGACGGCAAGCAGCATTGATCCAAATCATGTCAACTAATACAAATACTACAGGTTAAAACCTACACATACACTGCCAGAGAAACAGTACCAATTTGTATTTTTGCTCGTCACTGGGGTTGTACCCTTAGCTGTAGGTAAATGTACCTTTAAAGGTACAGAAATGGACACAACGTTACTGTGCCCCACTGGAGCTGTACCCTCAAGGGTAAATGTATCTTTTGAGGTACAGAAATGGACTATGAGGAACACTGGGGCACATTAACATTGTGTCCATTTCTGTACCACAAAAGGTACATTTACCCTTGAGGGTACAGCTCCAGTGATAAGCAAAGGTACAAATTGGTACTCTCTCTTTCTGAGTATGTATACAGCAAAACAGTTTCTCATTGGGTCATTAATGGACACAGCACTCAGGTCACACCTAGCCATCTGTTTGTAAGCTTCCTCAGCCACTGCAAATATATGGGGGTCCATGTCTCCCATGTTCTGGCCTGAGTAGGCATGGATTATGGCATCTCCGTAAAGCGGCAGCTGCTTGTAAGGATTTATAGCGACGAGGATTATACCTGCGAATGAAAAAATGTACTGTACAGAGTGGTAACAAGAGAAAAAGCAATCAGAGTGCCTAGCAAGCAGAAAACATGATTTTTTTCTCGGTTAAGGGTGTTCCCACCACAGTAGGTATAGATGATTCTGGACTCGACAAAGCGAACTTTGAGATTGTGTAGAACGGCAGGTTCGTGCAGGTAGCTGAGGGCCGTGAGGTCATTCTCCCCAACCAGGATGTCGGGGTTTCGGAGAGGGGGCAGCTCTTGGTTTGCATCTAGAGCATAATTTAGTACCTTTTGGGAGGAGAAACATCTCACAACAATGCCAGAAATGAAGACTATGATAACCATCATTTCATAATGAAACGTAATGAAACATATGGCAACATAACACAACACAACATGTTTACTCCTCAGAGGTTCAGGATCAGAGCTTCTTATGCCTTGCTCATACACAGCATACTCATTATTCCTAATTTATTTGTCTTTGCCTGGAAATAAGATAACTGGTGTAATTACAGTTCCATCTTCAAGCTGTATTTCCAAGACACTGTTCCCAGTTTTGTAGTCCTGTAAAATTTCGGCCGACTTCCACACCTCCTCGGCATCTGGAATCCACACTCTGTTATACTAAATGGGAAAATGAATGACAGTAGACAAACGAAGACAGAGGAAATATGATAAATAAAAATAACGAAAAATAACGTTATTTTCACAAATGGATTAGTGAACACTGAAAGAACACCCCGTCTGTCATAAGTACCTTACTTTAAATTTGGCTGTCGAGTTAATGTTTCAACCCGGGTTATATAAGTTAGTGAAGATAACTGTAACTGAATGAAACTAAATGAAATTAAGTTTATTCGTTGTTTTTTTTTCCACATGGAAATGTATACATGGCTATCTCTGCATTCCTTTAATGTCAGTATCGCAACGACACTAGGATTTCAAAACATTTATAACACAATTAACTGGGGAGTTCTTCTCAGTTGTCGAAAAAAGTTGCATTTTAGAAGTAAAATAATAAAGGCATTTCCACTTAATATATTTACTTAAGCGTCGAATAACGCTAAACGCCATACACAGCACTCCTACCTTGGTGTACAGCTCGGAGAGAGCCATGGCAACGGCAACACGGACAACTTAACAAACATAAAAAAAAAACCGCCTTTCCCCGAATAGGGACAGAGTGTGTACACATCCAGTTGTGAAACTTCGCAGCTCTCAGGTAAGACGTACGTAGTTCCCACAGCTCTGGGAAACTTGTGACCGGACTCGCCGGCGGAGAGAGATTCCGGCTCCTGTTCACCTGGCCGGCGGACTTTGCTCCGTCTCCAACCCGCCCATCGCGTCTTGTGACAAAGCATTTGATATGCAGGGTGTGTCCATTTGCACAGGCGCTGGGAAAACAAGTGCAGTTTGCGTGTGACACCGTCTACACACAAGAACTGCACGCTGTATTATGCTGGGTATACAGCCTGCTGCAGTATACAGCATTATACATTTAATTTCTATAGAATGGTAGCGTACTTTGTTTTATTTGACGCAATATCATTAGAGGAGTAAAAGACCGAAAATAAAGGCGACAGCATGATGTATTTCCTATATACAGTGCAGGATTCCTTTATTTATCTATACAGATTGGACATTTCGAACTTATATATTCTATACTGAACACAGTTGCTAATTACAATCACCGTGACTTACAGACATTTCAGATTTTCACGTTTGCACAATGGTTCTTGGAAAGACCAGTTTTTTGGGTAACATCGGTCAGACAAGAAACACATTGGAATGGTATTCCTGGTGTTCTGGTATCTTTTTTTTCTTTTCTTACAGTTTCTAGCAGTATAGCCATTACCGATTTTATTGGAGTCCATGTTGGGGAATTTGAGCGGCTTTTCCCATTCATTCAGTCATTTACAGGCGGTAACGCAGTCCTGTTTCAGTGTAAGGTGTCAATGCTCTTCAGGAGCTTTCAATGACATTTAATCAAACTGTGAAGTCAATCTCTGACATTTGCAGGATTTAGTGTATAAATTCTGGCAGAAATGAAAGGTGAAGACTTAAGAATCAAATATTAAGAAAAACACCCAAGCGAAGCCCAGCCATTGCTCGGATTAACCTGCTGACCACCGAAATTTCATGCAGAAGCTAATGCAACGTATAAAATGAACGAAGTAAAATTCAATCATCAAACAGATGTTTACCCTAATGTATTAATAAAATCAAGTCATACAGCGAAATGTGAAGTAGTTATAACAGTTTGTCGAGTTGACCGGTTTAGATTTTGATGCCAAGGTATAAGTAGGATTGCATTTCTAGAAACGTGGTTACTTCTGCAATAATCATCAGTTTTAAAATCATGAACTGTATATACAGAAAACACCTTCAACCACCATTTATTCCAGTTCCTTAGCATATTCTTTTAAAATTGCAGAAAGAGATACCACTAACGTGAGGGGTACCTTACATTGTTATGAACCCCAAGACCAAAATCTAACAATCTTTAACAGGCGATAACATAACTATTAACAAAAACCCTTTCCAGCATTGTAATAAAACACTTCACAAAGAGAAACGTCACCGATTGTGTGGTGCTACACTACATTAAATTAAAACACATAAAACATGGTGCGCAAACAAAACATTGAAATGGAAAAGTTACATATTATTTGCAGTATGATGCACTTAGCCGATATGCATTGCACATAGATACACTAACGTGGTCAGCAGTTGAGTACAATGTCCTTCCGGTACATCTGTAAAACTCAGGGCTTTGTAAAAACCCAGCGCAGTTTTTCGCCGTTGTAACTCCTTTATAAATAATTCACTTTTCAGCCTATAAACTTTTTTTTGTGACTGCCTGAATAGATAGAAATATATTTACAGGACGGCTAATGACCGACAATACGCATTCTCCTCATACTACATAGGGTTATTAATATGGCTTGTGATTTGATTTATTACCTATGCTGTTTATAAAAACGATCAATTCAAGCTAGCATATTTATCAGTGGTGCAGATCTTTGGACGTTTTGGGTCATATTGTTACATGGCTGAGCTGGTTTTGTTTCAGCAATCAGCTGGCTGATCTACAAAGGGCCAATCTGTGGGCTACAGGGGCCCGCATGTGTATGACATCCTCTGATAATGTAAACAGAACAAAAAGGGGGTAAACAAACAAAAGACAGATCAAACAACATGTCTTAGATTTGTTCTTCATATAAATACCCATTTCTGGCACAACTATTGTACATGTATTTTGCATTTAACATTAAATAAGGGATAACGGTAGAGGTTTGGTCCAAGAAGCACAAAGATTTGCTAGTTACAGAAAGCGTGACAACATTACCATAAATTCTAGAGTGCAAATTCAGGGTAACAATCATCTCAGAAAAAAAATATCAGACTGTTTTCTTGGTAACATTCATCCATGACACATGCTCCTAACATAACAGTTTTGTGTTTCATAACATTAATACTGAAATAAGTCAAGAACCAAAGCTCCAAGCTGAGAACCAATGGCTTGGTACCTTACATGTAAAACAAAACCAATGTACCTTTGTGCTTAAAATGTGTTTAAGTCTCCTTGAGGAATCCAAACATGATGGCCAAATTTGAAAAACGCACCCCGGAACGGTAACCTACGATCAGTCTGTATGCACAGAAACGGCAGGAGTTACAGCAAAGCGTACACAGACACACAGCATCTACGAGTGTGCTCCAATTAGCTAAAGCCCCCACCCCCCAGACCAGTTATATTCACTGGCTGCAGCGGTGTCTCAAACTGCTCCTCAGGCACGTTTTTGCAAAAACGCGGGCAGTCTGGGGGTCCCAGAGGACTGGGCTGGAAAACACTGTGTTAAAGATACTTTAACGTGGAGCTGTGTGGAGGCCCCAATCTCAACTTTATGGTTTCCTCAAATAGTGACAACAATACCTGCAGTGAACATAAGATGTAAACAGTATCTGTATTCAGGAGGACAATAATCTTAAACTCTGCCGTGCCTAAGTACAATATTCTTGGATATACAAGTTACACAAGACATAGCTTCTATCTAAATGTACTAAGTCTCAATACATAAACTAAGAAATAAACATCTACATTAAATAGTTTACTAATGCACCATTTTTACTTATTCTACATATTGTAAAGCTTACTGACATTAATATAAGACAAATTACAATATATACCATCCAAATTTGTCCCCAGTTTGAGATGTGATGGCCAATCAATTCCAAAATTTTTCCACTATGGGCAAATCCATTAGTACGTTTGGGATGATATGGGTAATAAATACAAATATTCTCGAATAATAATAGTAATAATAAATAATGATAATACGATAATACCAATAATTTTATAGGTGTGGTAGAGAGCACCTCTGAATTCTCCACTGCTGGGTGGCCTTCCTATCAGAGATCCACACATCATCAGCTCTCTGTCATTTCATCACCATCCGTTTCAGACTGAACACCTAACCACTGTTAAGGGGGCTGATTAAAAGGGCTTAACATTTAATTTTTTTTTTACTTGGTACCATTGTGGGCACCACAGAACTCTCATCAGAAGAGCCACTTATTCCCAACACCTGGGACGAGGCTGGCTGTGGGGAAGTAATGGACGGGAGGCATCTAGACACGTGTGAGGAAACCTAGATTTAAACTGCCGGGGATCTGGATGGTCTCCAAGGCCAGAGACGATGGGTTGAAGGGGAATGTCACAGGGTAGATGAGTTTTGTGTCCATCAGGAGCTGTGGAGATTCCTTTCGATCTCGTAAGCGGGTCTGTGGATGAAAGCAGAAGACCAATCAGTGAATGAAGACACACGCTGCTTGGGTTCTATCACTGAATTAATGTGATCGATTCCTGACCCGATCGAAACAAAGCTCAAAGAGATTAGATGATAACACACGCCAGAGGAGCGCACAGGGAGAACTTCTTTGAACTTGCTTTGCTCTTACCTGTATGGTTCGAATGAAAGTGACAGACACTCTTTCCTCAAACTCATTCACCGGAGTGTACAGGTTCAGCACCTTCACAATCTGGCAGGAGGGCAAACAGATCAAAACAATAGTGATTCAGGATTATGGAGCATGAAAGACTGAAAATGTTAAACACCCAAATAAACACTCATGTTTAATCTTACCTGGGAGGTGGTGAGGGCGTGGCACATAGAGCAAATGGCCTCTGCGTCCTCGTCGGTCTTCTTCTTCACCTGTAGCAGCTGTGCTGCCTGGATCAGGGGCTCCAGCGTCTCTTTGGCCCCACAGTTCATCAGGTTCTTGTCCCTGAGCCACTCCTCCAGCTGGCTGACGTTGTACCTGTAGGGGTGAGGGAATGGCAGCATGTTACAGTTTAAATACTAGAACTCGTGGCCATAAATGGAAATTAGCGGGAGAACATTTTAAAACGAATTTGAGAAAGCACTTCTTTACACAGCGTGTAGTTAGAGTATGGAATAGTCTTCCTGTTAGTGTAGTGCAAGCTAAAACCCTGGGTTCCTTTAAATCAGAGCTAGATAAGATTTTAAACAACTCTGAGCTATTAGTTAAGTTCTCCCCAAATGAGCTTTCTTATGTTCTTATGTTCTAGGTAGCATGTTCCACGCTGCAGACCTCGCTGATCTCCAACACACATCCACCAATCTACTCATACACCCAAGGAACCCAAATACGTAACCATCATCTTGCAAAAAGGGGGAAAAAAGTTACCAGATGGAAATGACCCTTAGCAAAGCATAAAATCTAACCAATTAGGGTCATACTTATGACATTATCCAGGAACTATATGGGGCAAAGCCTGGCACACCCAAGGTGGGTAATGGTGTGACTGTTTTGAAACAGAGACCGAAACTGTGATACAAATGTTCACAATCTTGTGTTGCAGTTCTGGAAGACGGAGCAGTGATATACACCCCTCCCAACCCTAATCTGCTGTCACCACTGTGGGACCAGCCTACTGAGCTCTCGTTACGTTACTCATGTCCCAAAGCTCATTTTTCATTTCATAATTTAATGCTATAACACGTGTACATCACAAAATTATTCTGTTTAAAGTTAGGGCAAGCTGAGTATTTTTGAAAATATTACACATTACACTAAAGCTGATCTAGTTCTTTAGTCTTCTCTCACAGTATGAACTGAATCGTGAACTGAAGGTCTGAACCATGGATTTGGGGAATCATTATACCCCTAAAGATGGGACATGGATACTCTGTTGAGTTGAGGGGAGGGGGCAATTGACAGATTTGGACAAGACAGTGATCTCACTGCTGCAATGCTGCAGGTTCGAAAAAAGGAGTTCTCCCCTGACCCTCTGCACCCTCAGTCAGAATGTCTTTTGTTCCTGGGTAAGACTGTGATGGTTTTCTGCTAAATGGGCACGGCAATATGGCCGCCCCTTTCTGCTGGTAGATACCTGATCTGCATCCCCTTGCTCCAGGAGCACATGTCCTTCCGCAGCAGCAGGTTGTTAAGGGTGACGGCGCCGATGATGTAGAACTGCTGGCGGACCACCTGCTTCATGAGCTCCGGGTCGGTGCCGTGTTGGCACATGATGGAGTGGAAGGAGTTCAGCTGGCGGAGGATGGAGTCCAGGGTGTAGGTGCCCTCATCGGCGATGCTAGATGTCCGCTTCCGCAGGCCGGTGGGCTTCACGCCTGACACGCCTTGGATGGTCTCGTGCTCCAGCATTCCTGAGACTGTAGACCATGTGTGTAGAAAGGAGCCATGTGACGCCTCATTAGATGGGGATATATTATTTACAGATGTGTTTACTGGGAGTCGACCGAGTGACTTGAGTGCCACGGGCGGGTGGATTACCTATCATGGGCTGCAGAATGTTCTCCATGCACTTGATGAGTTGCTGGTAGATCTGGATGGCCAGGTCGCTCAGAACCTGCCGGTACTCCGCCAGGTCAAAGTTGTTCAGGCAGTGATCGTTCTGCTTATTTGTGTTGTATTTCGTGAATGCCTGCAGGGGGGCGTGGCACAGACTCCTAAGGTCAAGATCGCCAAGGAGCAATGAACAAAGTAGGCATCGCTTGGACCATCTGTGGTTTTGGTCCTACCTCCTCCCCGCTGTACTGCTTCAGACAATGCAAGAAACGGCAGGTGTTGGAGAGCCAGAAAGAGACCGTCTCAAAGTCATCTCCTCTTTTCTGTAAGCAGGACCAAGAAACTTCAAGTCAGGAGACGTGTGACACTTTTTATATTTACTGATGCTGATGTACTAGAGACAGAGATATAAACAGAAAGAGAAAGACGAGAGAGAGAGAGAACGAACATAGCCACCATGGATCAGTGTTTCCCAATCTAGTCCTTGAGAACCTGGAGACAGTTCACATTTTTGCTAGGGAGCTGGGAGGGAGCAAAAATGTGGACTGTCTTTGGATCCCTGAGTACTGGATTGGGAAACTTTGCCATAGATGATACCAAATTAGCGGTGCTGAATTATCAGTGGTGCAATAGCACACGCATACCTTTAAGATCTTCTTGATGCTATTGATAGAGCTGGTGAGCAGTGTGCGAACTTTCTGGTCGTCGTTGAGGTAGTCGGCATGGCGCAGACACATGAACAGGATGTAGGCCGGCAGGCCTGGGATCATGTTGACGGCCACACCTCGTGGTTTCAGTTCTGCACGGCCGAAGGATGCCACGTCAGATCACCCAGAAGCTGAAATCTCAGCGGGCCTCCACCACTGACCGTTTTACTCACCTAAGATCAGATTCTTCACCAGCTTCAGCTCATCATCCTTCTTGTACTCCAGCATGCCCTGGAAGTCCTTCTCCTTGCGAGGGATGTTGACTGGCCGGATTGGCTCATCCACGGTCTGTCCAGGGGAAATGTTCTCCACTTGACCCCCAACTGAGCAGTTGGATCAAAGGAGGGGGACATTGGAAGGTTGAGATTACTAAGTGATTAAAGTCATGAATGGGCAGTATTTCTGATACATGTAAAATAGGTATTTTAAATATAAAATTGTATTTTGTAATTTGTATTTGACTTACTTCATGAAAATGATTATGTAATTTATATCAAAATACATTCTGATGCATTTTTTCCGCGTCTCTCATTAAGGACGCTATGGTCCTTCTGCATTTACCTTCCAACTCGCCAATCTTCTTGGCAAACACCTTCAGCTGCTTCTTGAGCTTGCGGACAGTCTTGTCCTGCTTCTCCAGCTGCTCCATGAGGTCCTAAAACGGGGAGAGGTTACTCTCACGTAATGGAGGACGGCTATCCTTTCTAATTTCTTACATGACTGACAGGCTTGGGGAAAGAAAAGCGAACACAGCACACATTTTAGTCATCGCGTCCTGCAGAAGGCCAGCAAAGCGTGTTAAGAACAAACTCGGTGTACAATTTCAGGGGGGTCAGCAGCTATTTCTCAGTGCAAATTATGGAAACAAAGTCTTTCCTTGCTTGTAAATAATCGGTCAACTTTTAAAGGACAAATGATACAATATTAGGCACTAATATCAAATTTCCATCACATAATCAAAAACATCACACATACACCTGAGCATGTATTTCCCCTGCCCCCACAGAAGACTGTGCTTCCATGACTGAGTAACAATGAGTAACAGAGTATTAGGTACAGTGAGCACTGACTCAGCAGGAGTGGGTTAACAGACAGGGAGTGGGTGGCTGCTACCATATTAGCCACATATGTCTCATTCATCACAGCTCTAACACACAGGGAGCACACACAGTACTGTTTCTCCTGTATACAC